TTTTTCTGTATTTTATTGATTCACAAAATATGTTAAACTAAAAATATGGACAAAGCTAGAATCTAGTCACACATGTCCTGTAATTTACCTCTTTTGTATTTATTATTTATTTATTTTTATTATCATCATAATCTTCTCTATATTACATTGGATTACATATAACTTTACAGTGTATTACATTGCTTTTTCAAAAGGGAATGCCATGCATGTCCATCAGTACAGAGACATTAATCTCCCCACTTCAACATTCAATATCTTTTCTGTGTTTTTCTCAACCATTATTATTATTATTCTAATTATTTTTTTAAACAGTCAATCGCTATTTCTCATTTTGCTTGTAAAAAGACTTTACCCATCATGAAATACTTCTCAGACCAATCCAGTTGAGAATACTATACCTGTCATCACCAACAGGTAATAAGCCCTATCTGTTTCTCACTAACGTCCTGCCTCTCTGTTGTTCTCTTTACTTTTTAAAAACCCTAGAGGGCCTTTAAGAGTGACTTCATTACGCTTCAGATCAACTTTAGATGTGTGTGAGAGAGTTTTGAAATGACACGCAGAGCCTGTGCCGCTTAGGGCCACTCCCTTTCTGATGCCGACGTTTTCAGTAGTGCTCACTCGGGGCAGTACCATTTGGACAGCGAGTTTGGAAGTACACGGGGCATTTTTGGCTCACGTGATGATTTGATATGGCATCTACTGGCACTTGGGAGGAGGGTAGGTATGCTTGATGTATCCCAAATTTCAATTCAGTTCTGCACAGTGAGAAGTGTCCCTATCATACTAGAATTTCAAAAGATGCACTGACTAATATCCTAAGAAACCAAATATGAAGAAGTACATGAAATGCAGAAGTCACACTATATTTTATTAACAAGTTTTATTTAAAGTACTTCATATTATTGCCATTCTGTGTATCTAAGTTTTTGCAGTGCAATATGAAATTAATGATGTGAACTCACATCTTACAATCATTTATATGAGGGCTATCTATTGCTTTTCTTTTTCTTTTTTAAAGAATTATTCATTTTATTCATTTCACTTTTGTTATAGGACATGTGTGCTCATCAAAGAAAGAGAGAGAGAAAGTGACAAAGTAAGTTGTCAGATCCAGGACTTGAACCGTGGCTGGCCATGCGGGAGTCCAGCATCTTAATCCCCATGACATCTGCTAGCCTGTGCTTTTCTTTTCCTTTCCTTTTCTTTCTTAAAAAGTTTGCTAGAAGGCATAAGTGCTTACCAGAAAAGAGAGACAGAGAAAGTGAAAAGCATCCCCTCTAGGGGGTAGTCATGCTGCAATCCTTTCTCCTCCATTTCTCCCTTCTTTGGTGATTTTGGACACACACACATGCCCAGAGTGTTTTTCAAGGTGGTGGATCGGGCACTTAGACTGCAGCACCGGCTGTGTGGGATCCGGCCGCCTTCATCGCCACAACTTTCCTATAGTTCCCATTTTTATTTACTTCTTTGTAAAAATCCATCCAATATGCTCTGTGGTTCTTGAACAATGAGGACTCCATAATCTTTTTTCTTTTCTTTAAATTGCCCAAGGTGTGCATGCTCACCAGAGAGAGACAGGAAGACACAGAGAGAAATAGAAAGCGCCCCTCACTGGGATACAGTCATGCCGCCATCCCTTCTCCATTGCTCCGTGCTGTCTGGATGCTGGGCATGCATGCACATGCACTGGGCTTATTTTCAGTTCACGGGGCTGGGGTGTGCTTCATAGTCAGCCATGTGGGACTCAGCTCCCTTACCACTAGGCTACAGGGCCAGCTCTCCAAAATCGTCTTAAATACTAGAAGCCAAACATATGCTTTGACATGTGGCAGAATGTTGAAATAACGGGTGTCTCCTATAGTCGCATAAGGAATTATTTAGATTTAATGCATTATAGAGTAAGGCATAGGTCATTTTGATAATATTGTATTTCCTCTCTGGTTTGTCTTTATTATTTTTCCTTACTGTGTACAAATGTGTCTGATGTGTTATTACTTATCCTAATATTATTTTTTCCTGGCATTTTCCTATACTTCGTTCATTTCAGGGTCTCTTTTATTGGATGAGTTACTGTCTTTCTTAAATCAAAATGTACTAATGAAGTCCATGCAAGGATCTGGCTAGTTTAATAAATCTTTTAGTGTAGTGGGACCAGCAGTTAGGGTAATGGCTATGTCCCTGGACTGCCATGTAGTCGACTGAGGTTCACATCCCGGACCCGGTGGCTTAAAACTCACGCTGGGAGCGTGAGCCCAAGAGGAGAATGGAAGAGAAGGGATTGCAGTGTGGCCACCCCCCTGGGGGGTGATTTCTCGCTTTCTGTCTCTTTGTCTCTCTCTGTCTGTCTGGCGAGCACACATGCCCTATGGCAAAAAACCTCTCCAAAAAAAAATCTTTTAGTGTAGCAATATCTGAGCATTTACATATTGAAATACATATTTTATGAAATTTTTGTTTCTCTTATGGTATTATTTAAGAATTAATTTATTTAACTTTATTTATTTATTTATTTATTTAAATTTGACCAGAGAGGGACAGAATGAGAGAGAGAGAGAGAGAGAGAGAGAGAGAGAGAGAGAGAGAGAAAGTGAGAAAAGCAAACTGCCAAGTCTAGGACTCGAATTGTAGTTGGCCATGTGGGCATCCAACGCCCTTAACTTCCACACCACCTACCGGCCCCTATTTCTCTTATTTTATTGTTGAGGTACTATTTTCATGTTCTTAAAGAATTGTTATTTATTTAATTTTATTTATTATATTATTTTTTAATTTACTATAGAGCACATGCAGCTACTAGAGAAAGGCAGAGAGAAAGTGAGAAAGCAAGCTGCCAGGTCCAGGACTTGAATTGCAGTTGGCCATGTGGGAGTCCAGTGCCTTAACCACCATGCCACTTGCTGGCTCCTTATTTTTGTTTTAAAAAGTTTTATCTATTCCTTATCCATGATAGCGAGTATCTGAGCACACACATCGGAGAGAAAATGCACCCTTTATGGGGTCTCCAATGCTGAGATCCCCTTTCCCCAGCCCTCCAGGTCCTCAGGGTCTAAGGTGCTCCTGTGTGTCTTGTGAGCTTCCGGTTCACCTGGCCATGTGTCCAAACCAGTGATAGGCCATGTGGCTTTCAGCACTGTAGTCCAGTAGGCTAGCAAGTACACCACGTTGGCTGAGCCCGATTTTCTTTCCTTTTCTTTTTTCTTTTTTTTCCTCCCCTTTTTACATTTTTTTGGGGGCCATAGGGCACGAGTGCTCTGTGGAGAGACAGAGAGAGACAGTGAGAGAGGAAGTGAGAAATCACCCCCCGGGGGGATGGCGACATAGCGATCCCTTCTCTATTCTTATCCTGGGATTTTGGGCATGCACGTACATGCGCTGGCATGAGTTTCAAGCCACCAGGTCCAGAACTGAAACCACAATCAGCCGTGGGAGTCCAGCACCTAAACTATCACACCTGCTGGCCCCTCCTCTTCTCATTTTTAAAACATTGTTTATGTGCGGCGCCAGCAGATGGCATATTGGTGACATCACTGGACTCCCACATAGGCGACCTCAGTTCAAGTCCTGTACAGGTGGTTTAAAACTCATGCTGGGCACGTGGGCATGCATGCCCGAGATCACAAGAAGAGAATGGAGGAGAAGGGATTGTTGTACGGCCATCCCTCTCGGGGAGTGATTTCTCACTTTCTGTCTCTCTGTCTCTCTCTCCAGCAAGTGCACTTGCCTATAGCAAAAATCTCTCTGAAACAAAAACAAAAACATGGTTTATGTGATTATATTATATTATGTAAGAATTCCATTTTAGGATATGTGATAGATTATGTTTCTAAAGCTGGCCATGACGTCTCTCATCCCATACGTTTTTTCACAACGCAATCTCCCATTCCAACATCAAGAGGTGGAGCCATTTTCCCATTTTCCTTTTCCTTGAGTTTGGCTGTTTCTGGGAACATTTTTTTTTCTTTTCTTTTTTATTTTTATTTATTTTTTTTTTTTGAGAGGTTTTTGCTATAGAACGCATGTGCTTGTGAGAGAGACAGAGAGATAGAAAGCAAGAAGTCACCCCCTCCGGGAGGATGGCCACACCACAATACCTTCTCCTCCATTCCCCTCTCGGGATCTTGGGCACACATGCACATGCGCCCGGCGTGAGTTTAAGCCACCGGGTCCAGGACTTGAACCATGGTTGACTACATGGGAGTCCAGTGACATAGCCATTACGCCAACTACTGGTCCCTGGGAACATTTCTTTTAAAAAAGAACCCAGTTGCCATGCTAAGAAGGAGCCCGATAAATCACCTAGAGAGGCAGACTTGGAAAAGAAGTGTGGCCTCAAGCCAATGACCCAACTGAGTTCCCAGCTGCAGCCAGCCCCACTGTGTGCTAATTCTCAAATATATACAGAAGCTATTATTATTAGGAAATAACAAATTCACTCAAAAGCATCACTAGTTTTAGGAGATTTTTTATGATTATAGTAGTCTCTTCTTTATTCGTAGGGGATATGTTCCAAGACCTGGAGTGGCTACCCAAAACCCCCATAGTACCAAGCCCTCGGTATGCTGTGTGATTTCCATTTGATAACCCAGACGGCCATGCACTGACTAATGGCTGGGTAGTGTATGCAGCGTTGATAAGCTGGACCACGGTGTGATTCACCACCTAGGTGGGACAGAGCTGGATAATAGGGAGGGCATCCTACTACTCAAAATGGCAAGCAATTTGAAACTGATAACATCTTTATTTCTGGAATTTTCCATGTACTATTTTCAGACCATGGTTGACCTTAGGTAACTGAAAGTGCAGAAAGTGAAACCATAGATGGCGGGGAGGCAGTCAAATATATCGGGTTGCCAGGAAAGGTCAGGATGTATGTTTTCTATGCAAACATGTGTCATGACTTTTCTGACAACCCGATATATACATTTTTCAGTTACGGAAGTACTGATATTAAAACAGAGCTCTCATACTGGAGATGTTGGGAAAACCGCTGGCCCAGCTGCTAACGGATTTGTAGCTGCTCGTGTTCCTTCAAATGAATCCTTGTCTGGTGTCTATTTGATTTCTGGACCTTGAACTCATCTGGCTTCTTCCCGTGAACTGAACAATGAGCTGTGAAGATAAATTCCGTAGGGAACCCAGGTAAGAAATGTCAGTGGTCTTTGCAGGGCGACATCGCCTTTGGTGAACCATCATACAGAAGTCGTTTTGTAGAGCCCTTCTTAGAATGCACAGGCCTTTGTGTAACATCACTGAGCTGGTAGAGACAGAGTAAGTTATTGGGAATAAATGGAAACACCAGTAGATGTACAGGAATGAGTGGAAATTTATAGTAACCTACGGGGATTTGACTTGGATGTGGTACACACACAAAAAAAATAAAGAAATAATTCTGAAGTCACAAGTTAGTAAAGTATGTGTTAAATTTGATTTCTTAAAAAATTTTTGCCATAGGACGCATGCATTCATCGGAGAGAAATGGGAAAGATAGAGAGAGAGAGAAAAGTGAGAAAACACTCCCCAGGGGAGATGGTTATGCCTCAATCCTTTCTCCTCCATATTCCTTTTGGGAATTCGAAGCGCACACACGGTGTCTGGTGTTTTCTTCAAGCTACCGGGTTCAGGGGTCAAATCATGAAGTCAGTCATGTGTGACCCAGCACATTAACCAACACAGCCTCTGCTTGCTCAAGCATACCTTTTTATTTTTTAAAGAATTAGTGATTAATTGATTGATTGATTTTTTTTTTTGAGAGGTTTTTGCTATAGGGCGCGTGCACTCGCCAGACAGACAGAGAGGGACAGAGAGACAGAAAGTGAGAAATCAGCCCCCAGGGGGAATGGCCAGGCCGCAATCCCTTCTCCTCCATTCTCCTCTCGGGATCTTGGGCACGCACGCACATGCACCCGGTGTGAGTTTAAGCCACCGGGTCCGGGACACGAACCGCAGTCGACTACGTGGGAGTCCAGAGACATAGCCATTACGCTAACTGCTGGTCCTGCAATTGATTGATTTTTGATTTTTTTTTTCTTTTCTATAGGGCGCATGTGCTTGCTGGAGAGACAGAGAGACAGAAGGTGAGAACTCACCTCCCAGGAAGGATGACCATGCCACAGTCCTTTCTTCTCCATTCTCGGGATCTTGGGCATATACTTATGCACAGCAGGCTTGAGTTTTAAGCTGCCATGTCCGGGACTCAAACCATAGTCAATATGTGGGAGTCTAGTGACATAACCATTATGCCATCTGCTGGTCCTAATAATTTTTTCTTTTTCTTTTATTTATTATTACTTTTTAATTTGATCTGGGAGGGGCAGGGGAGAGAAATTGAGAAAGCAAGGCACAAGATCTGAGACTCAGACCATAGTCAGTCATGTGGGATCCAGCACCTTAACCTCCATACCACTTGCTTATCTGAGCATACTTTCATTATTTTCACAGTGCTGTATTTTCTTCAAATAATTTTCTTCACTGTTATCTACTTCATGAAGGTGTCTTGAGGATCTAATGAAGTTTGTGTGTTGGGCTTTTGTCATAGGGTGTGTGTGCTTGCTGGAAAGAAGAGAAACAGAGAGACTCAGAGATAGGAAAAGTGAGAAACCATCCCTCTGGGGGATGGCCACATCACAATCTCTTCTTCTCCATTGTCCTCTCAGACTTTTGGACATGCATGTAATACACCTGGGGTGATTTTCAAGTGGCCAGATCTGAGACTCAAAGCATGGTAAGCCATGTAGGAATCCAGTACCTCAAGTACCATGCCACCTGTTGGCCTTGAGGATCTAATAAGGTTTTTTTTTTTTAACTATTTATTTAAATAAAAAATGTATCATTATTATTATTTTAGAGAGAGATTTTTACTATAGGGTGTGTATTCTCGACAGAGAGAAGAGACAAAGCGAGATATAACCCCCCAGGGGAGATGGCCACACTGCAATCCCTTCTGCTCCATTATCCTCCTCGGATTTTAGGCACACACACACACACACACACACACACACACAATCCCGGTGTGAGTCTTAAACCACTGTGTCCAGGACTCGAACTGCAGCCAACACATGGGAGTCTAGTGACATAACCATTATGCCATCCATTGGCCCCCAAATTTATCATTATTATTACTTTTCTTTTTGAGAGGTTTTTGCTATAGGGTGCGTGCGCTTGCCAAAAACAGAGAGAGAGAGACAGAAAAGAAGAAATCACCCCCTCAGGAGGGATGGCCACGCTGCAATCCCTTCTCCTCCATTCTCCTCTTGGGATCTTAGGCACACATGCACACACACCCAGCGTGAGTTTAAGCCACTGGGTCCAGGACTTGAACCGCGATCGACTACATGGGAGTCCAGCGACATAGCCATTACGCCAACTGCTGGTACCTATTACTTTTTCAATTTGCTACAAGGCACGTGTGCTCACCAGAGAGAGAGAGTGAGAAAGCAAGCTGTCAGGTCTGGGATTCATACCATGGTTGGCCATGTGGGAGTCAGCACCTCAACCACCATGCCACCTGCTGGCCCCTCTAATGAGATATTAATCTCCTCACTTATAGACAACAAAACTGAGGACACGAAGTGGCGAGGCTATTTAAGCAGATTCCAAAGTGAATCACAGAGCCAGGAGCTCAGGTCTCTGAATCATCGCCCAGTTCTTTCAGTGCAAACATTATCTTTAAGACCAAAGATCATAGAACAGCTGTGGCTGTCAAGCATGGATTTGCCAACCCTTCTGGAGATTAGCTTGATGTCATTACCCAGGGAGAGCCTGCTAGACTTTCCATGTGATATAATATAATATGAATAAAGCCCAGGTGAGCATGACTATTTTGAAACCTTGCCATACTGAAGTGATTTCATTGTACTCATTGTTCCTATTCTTTGATATGGATGATTGACATTTTTTTAATCTAATGGAGAAAATGAATAAAAACATTTTTAGAAACCTATTAATGGTATTGTCACTAATCTGCAGCATACAATCTAAGCAAAGACTGTGTGCCTACTCTGTCATTTCATTTTTCAGACAAGTTTGGAGCTCCCCTCTCAATCAATCCGCCATGGATGGACCCTAGAACTGTAATTGTTTTTTGTTGTTGTTGTTGTTTTTATAGACCACAGATGAGTTTATTTTTAATATCCATCATACCATGAATTCATAGGGAATAGGTTCCAGAGGCTCAGGCTTCTCTGGGTGGAGCAGGCTGGCACGTCAGTTGAACCCAGGTCCCTTTCTCTTTGGCTTCCTTCTTTTTCTGGTCATTTTCCTTCACACGTTTTAGGAAGCTATCTCTGTTCATAGAATGCTTAATATGCTCAATACACACATTAATTCTCTGGGCAAGAATCTTGCCCTTAACCCGTTTGTTCACAACAATGCCAACAGCGTGCTGGGTAACAGTGTAGACTCTTCCAGTTTTGCCATGGTAGCATTTGTGGGGCATTCCTTTTGAACAGTACCCATTCCCTTGATGCCTACAATATCACCTTTCTTGTAGATTCTCATGTATGTTGCCAAAGGAACCACTCCATGTTTTCTAAAAGGCCTAGAGAACATGTATCGGGTGC